ATCTTAATCATTATTTCAACATCAAGCTTAAACATCTAATTTCCACGTTTTAAAAATGAGTAATTTTTTTGCTTTGTTTTATTCTCGATCGGTTGTTTTTTCTTTAAGTTCGGCTTAAAATTGATTGGTTTCTGGTTAAGCCTTGAAGTGTACTTGACACTATTAGAGAAAATGCTGCTAAGTTCATATGTGCAGAAAGAAATGGATTTTACTATTGTATCTTTATGTGCACAAATGAAGTGACGTCTACAAAGGAATGATTTAATGTACAAAAGCATGAAAAAGGACGTTATTCCTTTTGTTACACTGGAAAAAGCATTTTCAGCTCTCAATTATTACTATGATTGATGATTTTAGCTCTTCAAACACACAAACAATGTAAAACAATGTAAAAAGTCTGGACCAATTCCCTTTAGTTGACGTCACTTCATTTGCATTTTCAATTTTCAAATGTCTATAACTCAGAAAATACAATTCCAAATCTATTTCTTTCTTCACAGAAGTGCTTGTTTGCAAGGACTGGTACACGTTGTTTTTTGTGATAYATGAAATATTTTCTCTTGTCAACTGTTGCTTGGGTCCTTGTATCTATATTTTACTTATACCCGACTTTAAAGAGGCTACAAAGAAAGTGCTGTGCCTGAAGAGCAACAAGCGCGTCAACAAAWGGAACACGACAGACCTAGAGATGACAAAACCAGCGGAAGAAATGGGCGACATTCCCAGGAAGTAGATAACGTGACAACTACGARTGCTGTTTATGATTAGAGCTGTATTAGAGTGAAGTCAAAACTTGTACGTTCAGTTAATTTTAAAAAGCTTTATATCTAAAGTTGATGAACCCACATTGATCGATTTCAAATATTCCCATGAGATTCAAAAGATAAAAGACTGGTGGCCATGTTGGAGGAATGAACAATAGATACTAATGAGAAATCCTTTGTTCAAGTTCCTCCGAGATGGCCGCTGTGACGTAACTTGAAAACGAAGGATTCAATTAAAGTTATGAGTACAATAATACTTTATTTTTTGTGATGTCTACACAGAGATAACTACATTTACCTTACTGTAAATATATCTATTGTTGTTGAATGTCAACAAGTCCTCATTACAAAAGCTATGGTCAATCTGTGTTGTGAATCATCGAGGACTCGGACTTSATCCCAGTCCCTATAACTCCAGTCMTTTCAAAAACAGGAATCCCAACATTACTCTATTAGTGAATACGTTGGTCTTTCTGTTGAGCGATTTTTCCACAAGAGRCTGGGTCCTGCTGCCACTYTCCTCTTTCCTTCAAAAAGCAAGGATCCTAACGCATTTTTTCCCTAACCAACATGGTCTAACTTCACTTAACTATACGCTTTAAGAAMCAGTTCCTCTCGWCCATATAGACAGCAGGAATCCCACACTTGTTTTACATAACTTGTGAAGTATCTTCTGTTGGGTAAAATACCTCGGATTCTTTTGGGGAAACTTTGATGCTSACTGATATCTTTTGGAATTCTCGGAAGTATGTTAAGAAGAATAATAAGAAAGAAATAGCCATTAACCATTCGCAGAATGTGCTGGCTAAGTGATTGTCGTAACCCTGTTAAATGAAAACAGAGTATGTGTAAGATGTATATCAAACAATTGCCTGACATTCGCGCGGGCTACCTGTGTTTTTTATGGGATTCCTTTTTTTCAAGGATGGGAGTGGACTAGGACAAAATTATAATGGCCGACATGTTGTAAAGCGATTTCTCTGCAAATTTTGTAAGTTTTAGCCATTTTAAAGCACTAAACGAGGGGAAAAAACTTGAAAGAAAAAAACTTTCTAACGTACTTCCTTATAAGGTAAGATTACCATATATGGTCAGCAAAAGTTTGTCAAACGAATGAATTTTTCTCTGAAGCAATTGTTTGATATGCAAGAAATAAAAGCTAATATTTATCATTTTCAACCATTCCCATGAGATTCAAAAGATAAAAGACYGGYGGCCATGTTGGAGGAAWGAACAATAGATACTAATGAGAAAWCCTTTGTTAAAGTTCCTCCAAGATGGCCGCTGTGACGTAATAGTGAAAACGAAGAATGCCAATAACACACAGTTGCAGTGAAAATGAAAAAAAAATATTTCGGGAATATTTATTGTTCATCGACCAATTGGGACTCATCTTGCGCAAGAAAAYCAGGTTTCCATTTTACAGTTCCAAGCGCCATCTTGAAAGGTAGCCGAGTCTTTGCATCAAAGCTAGACTTGCGAACAAGTCGGACTCTCTTGGGCTAAAAGAAACTTTGTAAAAGCGAGACGAGGTTGAGCTTGCAATGATAGATACCTGTGGAATAATTGTCTTAAGTGTGAACAAAAGGTATCTATCACTGCAGGCTCAACTCCAGTTTCGCTTTGATGGCGCTCGGAACTGTAACATGCATGGATTAGTATTGTCTAGTGCTCTTACTTTTAAAGACTCATTCCAGTGACTTGCGCTTGTTGGGGGTTGTACTGTAGAACTGTTGCCGCCAGATTTACTATCGGCTCTTTGTGACATTGAGATTGGACCAGCAATAGAGGCTAAGACATGTTAAGTTCATATCATTAAACAAACTGTCCTGAAGTCGAGAAAAGTAGCATGAGGAAAACTCAAATGAGCGTGCTACTAGTCACGGCCAAATGGTTCATAGACAGCAGCCAATCAGATAGCGCAAATTTATTTAGTTTGATGATAATGTTAGTACATTATAAAATTGTACGCGAAAAAAAAATAGAATGAATAAAATTCGAGCAAAGAAGGCAAAACAATATTAATTTTCAAAAAAATTAAAAAAAGATCACAAATACGGTGTCCTACAACCCCCTCCCTCCAAAAACAATCAATCAATGATCAAYCAATCAGTCAATYGATCGATCAATCAATCAAAAGTAGAAAAAGCCGGTATAAATGTTCAAACTTATCAGAATCAAAAGGATACTAATAAGAAAGAAGATCGTAGCAAGTAAGGACAGTATGGATCTGGTCACTGTTGTCAACGTGGAGCTCATTCCTAGGGACCTCATCTTGTGTGAGATGTAACTCTGAAGCCAGCAATACAATATACCAAGACCAAATACCATAAAGGCACCAATCAAATGAGGAATAGCGCTGTTTACATACTGTAGAATGAGAAAGAAATCTTATGCCATTAGTATTGTAAGGAAAAGAACAAAAATAAAAACATGAATGGACCTGAAAGCGGAGGAAAGATAGAAAATTATAGAGAAGAACGGGAGGGGAAGTAGAACAAAGGAAGACGGYAAAAAGAGAAAATTGAATACTCCAATTTCGAGTTCTGGTTTGCTCTGTGTTAGCCTCAAAACCAAGTAACATATTCTTTTGTTCCATTGATAGCTCGAGAAAACGCATGGAATTTTGTGAAGAAAGACAATAAATTTGATTTGAAATCTCACACTTYTACGCTCACAATAAGGAATATTTTGCGCACAAATGAGGCTAACACAAAGCATTGGAGAATTCGAAACTGGAGTATTGAAAGAGGASGATGGTAAGGAAGGAGTGGGAGAATGAAAAGAAAATGGTAAGAATGCTCGGAAGAAAAGGACAGATTGGGAAAGATGCGGAAATAGAGTTAACTTAGGAAGAATGCTGGAGACTAGCGATATAGACTAGCGTGAGCTGCGTCGGTGTTTCTAAAGAAACAGATGCGTAAAAAGATAATTTAACACCGTAAAAATAGGGAAACATTTACTTACGTTTCGGAAGTAAAGTGAAGGATCCTTCCATGAAGAATTAACGTCCAAACGTCAGTAGGTTGTTTCATTGTTGTTTTTTTTGCGTTGTTAAATTTATCTTTTTACTTAACTGTTTATTTACTAGGAAGTTTTAAGAGCGAATGTATAAAAGAAGTGCAAAAAGATCGAGGATGGAATGCATGTATTGTAATACGGAAGATGAAATCGTAAAGGTTATTAAATAAATTAACATTTTCAAGTAAAAAATAGCTAAAGTACAAAATAAATATTCGAAAGGCATTAAAACAAAGTGGGAGAAAGAAAGACATCTGAAATGTGTCTTTATAAAAAAAACACACAAATCATACCTGAAAATTAGCTACCATGGACATTCCTAGGCAAGCAAAAGCCGCCAGCCATAAGGAGAAGTTGTTAACTTTCTGAACCATTGGCATCTGGGTAATATTGAACTCTTTGATGTGTTTATAGTGGATGTACATAGCAACAAAAGCTAARGACAAAAAACAATAATAAACCATTAGAGTGAATTCATTATAGAGCACAGAAAACCATGGCAAAAAATATCAAACTAAAYACTAACAAATAGCGGCTATTTAGAGACAATTTGTCAGTATCAATGAACCAGAACACAATGAAGATGAATTAACATGGGACCATTTTTAATTCATCTTTATTGCATTCTGGTTCATTGATACTGACAAATTGTCTCTCTTATTTCATGGCTTTCCTGTGTTTGCTCTACCTGTGAAACTGTTTCTAGGAATAATAAAGTGTAAACACTAAAAGTGTGAAAACGTACCAAACAAATACTACTAAACAACACAATATTATATATTATATAGTAGAGTAATTTAGACAATAGAAAATAAAGCAAGTGYGATCACACTTAAACCGGGCAACTGTACAAACTAAATAGTTCTTTTTAGTTGTATTTAGTAAATCGTGCATACGGTACATAAAATAAATTGAATTGATACAACTGGAGCATTCAATACCGTCTTGATTTAGGTCYACTTTTAGTACAAATTAGTAGTACTGTATATAGATTTTGTACAGTTGCACGGTTTAAGTGTGATCACTCAATTTGCAGAATTCAGTACAATTTAGTACTATTTAATTATTAATTGTTTTCATGGTTTTAGAWGGAAGTCATATTAAACCTGTTAAATAAAATTTGACTATTAGTGCAGGGCTCGAAATAATGGCCGGTCAACAGACTAAATGTCCTTCCAAA